CACACACACACACACACACACACACACACACACACACACAAATGTAGTAGTGCATATTTCCGTCTCGTAGCGCGGAAGATTCATTCGATTTGCTCATCACACACTGTCAAATGGTCGCGAGGGTACCCACTTTCCCCCCCCTACCTTCCTTACCTTGCTTTTCTCACTTACATCACCTACCTCACTCGCGTTCTGTGCCTGCACCGCTTTCCCTTCCCCAACTCTCTCTCTCTCTCTCTCTCTCTCTCTCTCTCTCTCTCTCTCTCTCTCTCTCTCTCTCTCTGTGCCTAACTTAATCTGAATGCAATCACGACCAGAAGCCTCCTCCATGAAAGACGATGTGTCGGCCATGTTCGGATAGGAATGCTCCCGGTGTAAAACCACATGAAATCAAACATCTACCTCGGCGTCCTTGGGGGATGCTCCTCACACTGGGACTTGTTCCAATGAATTTGAGTGCATATACAGTTTGATACAGGCCGGAAATGCCTAGTGTGTACATTACACTCTCGACGTAAAACACTTCTGGCGTGCCATAACATTAAGCCTTCACTCTACCTTCTTCACCCGAATGAGCACTCCGTCATTATAGCTGCATTTGGACCAACTTCCAGACCAGATGCAGCGATAATGACTGGGCGTTCTCTTCGGGTAAACACGGGAATTGTTTGTCGAGTCTCGACTGCATCTTGCAATTTATTTTCTCTCGCATACTTTTCCAAGAAAGTCCTGCCGTCTTCACCCAACTACAACGCCCCGCGAAGATGGCCGTATTTGGTGCGTGACTTTCAGCCTACATACAGTGATAATGACCGTGTGCGTGTTATATATTGAGGTTGAGGTAAAGATGCTAGTGTGAGTTTGTACAAACACCTCCGATCATTGTCCTTCTTCTGTTCCACCGTCCAAACTTCCACCGGGTTCACAGTTTAGGCATATTATAAACCAGTTTTTTTCAATTTTTTTGTCTCTACTTCTTTTTTTTTTTTTTTTAACATACCCCCACCAGTGTACTTCATAATCTATGAAGTTAGTAAATTACCATCCTCAATCATTTGTCTAATCCACACACATCAATCATTTGTCTAATCTACACACATCAATCATTTGTCTAATCCACACACACATCAATCATTTGTCTAATCCACACACACATCAATCATTTGTCTAATCCATCATTAGTACAGATTCAGATTGTTTGTCCATCTCCTCAACTTGAAGATGACCTTTGCTATTTTCCAAACTATAAACATGCAGTCGATAAAGCCAAGACGATTCATATCAGTTTCTACCGTTCAACGACCATTACTACTATCATAGTACTATGCAGTCCACAAAAAAATGCGACAACAACAACACTTCCTGAACTTGTCACTTTCACCTACTATATCTCTTCCCTTCCTAAAACAACTGAGGGTATAACTCTATTTCCATCTTCTTCTTCTTCTTCTTCTTCTTCTTCTCCATCATCATCATCATCAGCATCAGCAGCAGCAGCAGGAGCAGGAGCAGGAGCAGGAGCAGCAGCAGCAGCTGCAGCAGCCAGCGGATGCATGTGTCGGAAAGCCACTTGTTAAAAAACCAGGTCTGTCAACATTTCGGTTCTCAAAGCGAAAGTTTGAACAATCATTATACACACCACAGAGGAAGCATTGAATAAGAAAGAGTGCGACTGAAGTGTGAAAATCAGAGAGAGAACCTCGGACATCCCATCCAATCACAGACTGAATGATAATGCTAGACCACAGACTGAAACTCTGGAACAGCTTCGACAGCCTATGGCTCTGTCTATACTCTGTCTATACTATGGCCAAAAAAGACAACTGCCGGCTAAACCGAAAGAAGAAGAAGGTAAGCAATGGCCAAAATTGCTCTTCACACGCAATAGAATAGCTTCGTTTCATACATGCGTGTACACTGCTCATGTCGTGCACACTTTCCGAAAGGCAGAGCGGGAGAAGAGGACAAAAAGCGAGGGGCTGTGAGCAACTGACCCTGTCAGGGGCAATTGGTTGTTCATTTTCTTTTTCTCCTTTTGCCGCTTTCCTCCTATTTCAGGAATGCCCGCACTTTACGTCCCAATCTATCTCCTTTTTCCTTGTTCCTCCCCCCCCCCCCCTTTCAACCTATCAATTCCATGCAAGGTTAAGTCGGGGCCTGAAACGGGATTGTTAAAACAAGGTCGTTGAATTGTCCAAATGAGGAACAAATTGACTGAATACACGAGCAAGACCCACATCTGCTAACCACCCGGGAAAGGCCAGGACAAACACTTGGCTGCCTTTGCACCTCTGTTTCTGCGACATAGTCCTCCCTACTACCTCCGGGCTGCGCCTCCGCACGGCACGGCGGTGTGGTACGCAGTGGAGGAGGTTGGGCAGGGGCATTCTGGGGTGCTGAAATGAAATGGGAAGTGTGCGGTGGGCCGCAAGTGTAAGGGCGTCCTCACACTAGCAGTATCTCAAATGTATCTGACCGCATTCACGGCCATACCTGGATGTATCTGGCGCAATTCCGTCCAAAAATACGTAAAAAAGTTGCAGTGTGAGTATGCCCTAAGACTAGTTAGTGAGAGGATCCATGTCCTCCTGGGCATGCCCATGTGGGGCCCCCTGCTACAAGCCTTGTGCCCAGGCTAAGTGAAGGCGGGCCCCTGTATCTCAATGAGGCCTCAGGCTGCCGGAATTTTGCAATCTGGCAGGCCCCGGGTGGGCGCCAGACAGTTACTCAGGGCCAGTTGGTTACATGGCCCCCTGCTCGTGAGCACCAGAATCTTCCCTGAGCTTTCCAGACTCTTTTTTGGCTTGACGCGGAAGCAGAAACACCTCATGCATGCCACACCTGGAAGTTGGGAGCCCTTAAACCACCACTACCCCCGCCGGCCTGAAATGGACTTTCCTGGCCTTACGGACCGGGTTCTTAGGGGGGGCGGCGACCGGCCTGGCGCAGGCGGGTCCGGTCCAAAAATTTCCAAGTGCGAACTTTGCCGATTTTTCGCGCTCAGAAATATTGGCAAAAAAATATGAAAATTTGATATCCTGTAGATTAGGTCATGATCTTTCCAGGAAAAATATCAAAAAAATGAAAAAAAAAAAATTAGATGGTGAAGTAAATGCCGTGCCGTTTCGTCACACTTTCCATTTTTGCTACTCTACCATGTATGAGCCAACGAAAAATTTAACCCAACTTTTGCGATTTTTTGCGATCAGAAGAATGACCCAAAAACTCTGAAAATTGGAGGGTCCGTAGATTTTGTCGTGATCTTTACAGGAAAAATACTAAAAAAAATAAATAAAATCACTTGAGCCGCGAAATAAA